CAAGGTAAGAAGATAACACGGCATACGGTCGGACAGAGGTAGAAGGTCGAGGTCGATGCGGGGAGCATGCCCTAATGGTCTTCGTGCTTGTAGGATGTTCCTGTGCATCATGGGGGAGGGTGCCCCCGAATGTGCTCCAGTTTGGCCAGCGGAGGGTCTCATGTTCTTGAAGGATGCTATTCTGCCCTAGGTCGGTCCGTAACCACACAATTTTGGCGATCCGCGCGGATTTCTTGGATCCGCGCCTGGGATCCCCCCAGGCGAGCGCCAAAAATGTATTTATGCAATTTTATCTACTTCGAAAGGTGGCACATGGCACTGCACGCACGCCCGTGTGGAATACGCCTAAGTCGAGTCCGTGAGATCCCCGGCAAGGGGGCAGGCGGCGACGAGCAAAAGAGGATGCCAAGTGGGAGAAGGGGCCCACACACTCTTGATCCTCGGCGAGCGCTCGCTCGGCTCGGCGCCGCCATGGTCACAACGCTGCAGGTCGCGGAAAGTGAGAAGTGCAAGCAGGTGCCGAGAGGAGGGCTCACACACACAAACAAACACACACACAAACACAAACACACACACACACACCCACACCCACACCCACACCCACACCCACACCGCACACACACACACACACACAAACGCACACACGCACTCACGCAGACACGCAGACACGCACGCACGCAAACACGCACGCACGCAGACACGCACGCAGACACGCACGCAGACACGCACGCAGACACGCACGCAGACACGCAGAAACGCAGAAACGCACGCACGCGGGCACGCAGGCACGCGGGCGGGCAGGCAGGCAGGCAGGCAGGCGGGCATGCAGGTACGCAGGCACGCAGGCAGGCACGCACGCCCCACCCCTACACACAAACACATACGCACACACACACACACCCACACATCCACACGCAACACAACACAACACATCACAACACAACACAGCACGCCACAACAAAACACAACACAAAACACCACAACACAACACAACAAGCCACAGCAAAACACCACACCACCGCATACCAAAACACAACACACCACAGCACACCACAACACACCACAACAAAACACAACAAAACACAACACAACACACCACACCACAGCACAGCACAACACACACACACACAGCACACACACACCACATACACACCACACACAGCACACACAGCACACACAGCACACACGACACAAACAACACACGACACACACAGATACCACACACACACACACACACACACGCACGCACGCACGCACACACCCACACACCCACACACCCACGCACGCACGCACACACCCACACACCCACACACCCACGCACCCACACGCACACGCACACGCACACGCACACTCACACGCACACGCACACGCACACGCACACGCACACGCACACGCACACGCACACGCACACGCACACGCACACGCACACGCACACGCACACGCACACGCACACGCACACGCACACGCACACGCACACACACACACACACACACTCTTTTTGGGGGGGGCGATCGCGGCCTCGCGCGCGGCGGCGAGGTGGAGAAAGTCGTCGGACGGGGCGAGCGCGGCGGGCCACTTAGCGGATCAGAACTCCATGCAGAACAATCGTGCCATGCGCATCCAGCGCAGAAAGGGTGGAGTGGGAAACAGGCCCGTGGATGACAGGTGGTGAGGATGACGGGTGAACGGGAGGAAATGCGACGAAAGGTAGTTGCAGAGGAGGACAGGGCGAAGAGGACACCCGAGAAAGACGAAAGGCGGCGCGGTAATTACGGCGAGCGACGAGAGCCAAGGACAGCGGCGGCAGAAGGGGTGAAAGCGCCAAACGGGCGGGCCCGGCAATACGCGACGAAGCAGGGCATGACAGTGCAGCGGACGAACCGACAAGGCAAGGAAGGCTGCCCAGCTCGCCGGAGAAGCGAAGGCCCCAGGAGGAGCAGGCGGAGGCTGGCCACGCAGGCTTCGAGGCATCCGAGGCGCACGGCCCCAGGGCAGGTGAGCCACGCTGGGGGAACCCTCAGCAGTCCCTGCGCAGCTGGGGACCCCCACAACCGGTGGGTGGGGAGGGCCCGGCGAGCCCGCCGCTAGTGCTTAGTGGTGGCTATGCGCTCATGTGCGTTTCGTACTCAGCAGTTTGCTTGCTCGCTTGCTTGTCACCCTGGAAGCGGAGCTGACCCTGCGCGAGGAGCTGCAACGACAGGTCGTCCAGTGTGTGCAGCTCGAGCGCGATGGCGGGGATGTTGGCAGGGGCGGCGGCAGAGGGCTCTGGAACGGATGGCCCGGCAGCCTCAGTGAAGGGGCCCTGGGACCACAAATAAAAGCATTCCCCATATTTTCCCATATTTTCTGAGTTTTTGTCTTGCCCCCCACTTCCCATATTTTCCCATATTTTCTGCGGAATCGACGATTAATTGTGTCTGTGTGTTTTTTTCCCTCCTGACTCAAGGGGGCGCGCGAAGCCTGTCCAGCCGGTTTGGATTCCAGGGATCGCTGCCACTGGAGCTGGCGTCGCGCTGGCTGGGGGGGCCGGTGGATCCGCTCGTCGCTCTCCAGGTGCTCCTCCACGACCTCAGCAGTGGGACACGGGGGTGCACACACACGCACACTCACGCACACGAACACGCACACGCACACGCACACGCGCACACACGCACATACGCACACACGCACACACACACACATACATACACACACACGCACAAACACATACGCACACACACACACACACATCCACACGCACACACACACCAACAAAACACAACACAACACAACACAACACAACACAACATAACACAACACAACACAACACAACACAACACACCACACCACACCACACCACAACACAACACAACACAACACAACACAACACAACACACAACACACAACACACAACACACAACACACAACACACAACACAGCACAGCACAACATAACATAACACGACACACCACAAGACAACAAAGCACAGTATAATAGCACAACGCTACACTACACTACCCTACACAACACACAGCACACAGCACACAGCACAACACACAACACAACACACACACACGCACACGCGCGCACACTGTTTCTTGAAATGCCGCAGTGGGGACGCGATCGCAGACGAGACTGCCACGGCCTACGCCGACAGCCCAAAGATCCGCCGCCGCGCCTGCAGAACGTAGTCGACTGCCCCAGGGCTCCAGGCTCCACGGCCACAAATGTGCCTGCTGATGGGATTGCATGATTCCGAAATTCGCCCCGGCCACCTCTGGCCATCGCTCGGGCGTCCATTCCCTGTGCTTTTTTCGGTTCCGTGTGCGGTTCTTCGCCACGTGATCCAGGATGCTCCTCGATGGCCCTCGCCGATGGAAGAATGCACACGTCCGAGCGATGCCAAGACCTGCTCGCCAGCATCCTTGGGCGCGCCTTGTGACTGCCGCGTGGGCGCCCGCGCAGGACCAGGGGCCAGTCCTCCTCCCCATCCTCCTCCTCCTCCTCCTCCTCCTCCTCCTCCAACAGGGGCCACAAACAGGGGCCAGTTTGAGGGCGCGCTCGGCGGCCCGCGGCGCCGCCCTGGGGCCCTCTGCTCGGGCTCCTCCGGCCGCCTCGGATGCCCTGGGGACGGGCCAGGAGTCGGCGGCGAGCGATGGGGGGGGACGCGCGCAGGAGAGGGCACCTCCTCCGAGGGGCTCGGCAGTCCCACGGCCTTCCGAGAAGCTCTCCAGGCCTTCCCCGAAGACGCCAAACAAGAGACCTCTGAGAGGGCGCGAGGGCTTCTGCAGGTCCCGCCGCCTCCTGAGAAGGCCACTTCCCCCCCCCTCGCTCGCCGCCGAACGAGGCCAACGTGGCTGAACAGTGGTTCGGTCTTGCAGAGCTATCGCATCCTGGCCTTTTCGGTTTTTTCGACGCGTCCACGCTGGTCCAAGAGAGGCTGCGTGCTCGGGGCTGGCCCCCCCCCGCGCCTACGGAAAGCCGCCGCGCCAGAGGTCCCTCTGGCGAAGGGGTCCCCTCTCACCGGTAGCCGTGCCCCGCCATTCGACACCACGACGCGCGGGTGGCAGAACATTTTTACGCTTTGGTCTGCGGCGAGCGAGAAGGGGAAGTGAGAAGGAGAAGGCCTCCTCAGAAGATTCGGAAGTCCCCCGGCCTTCTGAGAAGTTTTCTGAGCCGTTCCCGGAAACACAAAAGACTTCTCAGAAGACCTGGGGGCTTCTGAGAAGCCCCGCCGCCTTCTGAGAGGGCCTTCTCCTTCTCACTTCACCCCTCGCCCGCTGCCGCTTTGGGACAGCTTTCCTGCTACCGAGCCCGAGCCACCAATATGAGTATCGTTTAACCGATCCCCATCCCCCGCGGCGTGGCCTAGGCCCCACTGGCCGATTTACCCTCCTAGACGGGGATACAGGCCGCATTCTTCGGGTTTCGAGGGGTGTATCCCCAAGTGGGGGGGCAATTTGGTGGGGACCTCGAAGGGGATGGGGACGGGGGTGGGGATTGGCTAAACGATACCGACAACATGCAAGAAGCTACATCTCGCCACCGCTCGGACGTCCGTTCCCCGGGCATTGTTCGGCTTCGGGCGTGTATGCTGCGCAGGCTGGCCTCGAGTACGCCTCGGCGGTCCTCGCCGAGGACAGGAAAAAGGCACACGTGCGAGCGATGCCAAGACGTGTCTTGTGTCGCCGCTCGAACTCGCGCCCGTTCGACGTGTTTCACCCGTACCTTTTAGCGCTGCCCAGTACGTTTTTTTTTTTTGTTATTGCTGTTTTTTTTCTTCGGCGTTTCGACACTGGGCGGAAGGGGGGGAGGGGGAGGGGTCTGGCTCCAGACCTCTGCTTCGTGCGACTGTTTGCAACCGTGCGCCCTGCGGGGGAGGGACCCCCCCTGCCCGAAACAGGCGCCAAAAACAGCCAAGATCTACTCCATAGTGGGGGGGGGAGGGGGTTTGGGGGGCCGCGCCGATCGGTAAAACAATGAATAAACAAACGATCATTATTCGGACTGTTCCCAGTCGCCTGCGAGCACGGTGAACTTCGGGTGTCTCATGGACATCACTGCGGCGATGATGAAGGTCTCGTCTCCTGCCCCCCGTCACCTCTTGCGGATGCGAGTGCAGCTGCAGGCAAGGACCGCAAGCCTCGGAGCCGAGGAGTGCGCTGCCTCTTGGTGTCCATTCTCTCTCTCTCTCTCGACCTCTCTCCTGCCCCTCTCTCCCTCTTCCTCTCTCTCCCTCTCCATATTTCATGGTCGCGCTTGTTGTTGTTGTTGTTGCTGTTGATGTTGCTGTTGTTGTTGCTGTTGTTGTTGTTGATGTTGTTGCTGTTGTTGCTGTTGTTGCTGTTGCTGTTGCTGTTGATGTTGCTGTTGCTGTTGTTGTTGCTGTTGCTGTTGTTGTTGTTGTTGTTGTTGTTGTTGTTGTTGTTGTTGTTGTTGTTGTTGTTGTTGTTGTTGAATTCTCACTACTGAATAATAATCGTTGTTGGTCCCCCCAGTGCACGCACATTGAATTTGTCAAATAGAAGTGCCCCTCCCGGAACTCGCACCCTGTTTCCTTCAACCACGGAAAGTCTTGAGGCTCAATGTGTATTGTTGGCCCCCGGGTTACAACAACAACGGCTCCCGCCTGAGACTTCCTTACAAGTTAGCCAGGACCCCCGCTCCCGCCTGAGACTTCCTGGCGTGTTATTCAGGAATCGCGCTCTCGCTTGGGACTTCCTTGCAATTTACTCAGGGATCGCTCTCTCGGCGCTCTGGAGTCGCGCTGTCGCTGGAGACTCGTTTGTACTCTACTCAAGACTACCGCCCTTGCGTTGGGATTTCCTGCAATTTACTCAAGCGCCGCGCTCCCAACGCTCAGGCACTCAGGAGTTGCGCTCACGCTGAGGACTCCCTCACACATTACTTAGGAATCGGGATCTCGCTGCCCTTCGTGGTCCCGTTGCAAGCCGTTCGTGGCCCCCTCGCTGCCCTTCGCGGCTCCGTTGCAGCCTTTCGTGGCCCCCTCGCTGCCCTTCGTGGCCCCGTTGCAGCCCTTCGCGGCCCCCTCGCTGCCCTTCGCGGCCCCGGTGCAGCCGTTCGTGGCCCCCTCGCTGCCCTTGGTGGCCCCGTTGCAGCCCTTCGTGGCCCCCTCGCTGCCCTTCCCCCGTTGCAGCCCTTCGTGGCCCCCTCGCTACCATTCGCGGCCCAATCTATGCATGTCCTTCGTGGCCCCCGCTCGTTCGCGCCCGTCGTGGCCCCATGCGCATGCCCTTCGTGCGGCCCCCTTGCTGTCCTACGTGGCCCAGTTGCTACCCTCAGTGGCCCCGTCGTTGCCGTTTTGTGGCCCCGCGTTATCTGCCTTATGTGACCCCCGCTCGTTCGCGCTGTTCATGGCCCCATGCGCATTCCCTTCGTGTCCCCGCTGTCGCCTTTCGCGGCCGCCTACTTCGTGCCCTTCGTGGCCCTGCTGTCTTTTTTTTATCTCTTTCTCTCTTTCTCTCTTTCTCTCTCTCTCTCTCTCTCTCTCTCGCTTTCGCTCGTCGTCTTCGTCGTCGTCGACGTCGTCGTCAAAGTCGTCGTCGCGGTCGGTCCCCTGTCCGTCCCTATTGGGGTCGGGTTGCCGCCGATCAGCGCTGCCGCTGGCCAGGCCGACGGTCCGCGGCCGCCCCGCCGCTTGTCGGGGCCCGACCTGCAGGGAAGAAAAGTATACCTATACGACCACCTTGCGGGTGATACGGAGGTTTCGAGGGGGGCAGCAATGGGCAAAAGTGGTGATTGTTGTTCTGACGATGCCTGTGGGGCGGAATCTAGCGAGTAGAGTGATTTATGCACGTGGGCGTGATGTGATGTGGCGATGTTGGCGAAGCGCGCTCGACATTGTCGTGAAGCGCTGTCCCGCGTGCGCTTATCATTCGCGCGAACCTCACCTCAGCGCCAATCGACGTGGTCGAACGTGTGCGCCGCGGTGCCACAATGACTGCTCGCGGCGGCCACCCACACGCAGGCGCCGCTGGGGTTCTCACGTCAACACCTGACTCACTGGCAAACCCTGGTGCTCGCACGCCCTCATCGAGCGGCGCGTTCTCCACTGCGGGCACGTCGCCCACTGCCGGCTGCCGTGCCCCGCGTGCCCATGTGATAATAAGTTGTTGTTTGGTCTTGGGGTTCCATGTGAACTCGGGGTGGTTCTCGATGAAACCTTTCAGCCCCCCAAGCACCAAGAACTTGTTGAACTTCTCGTACACATGCTCGCCCCCCGGTCTGAGCCCCATCCTTTTGTGCAAAATCTTAGACGGATCGAACTCACCACCGCGCGCGTTCAGGCATCGGTGCAAAAGTGCAACCAAGCGCGCGTCAGCGTCAGGCGCGTCAGCCTCCTCGCCAGCACCCCGCACCCCGGAGGCGCGCAGGGGCGTGCATTGGCAATGCCTGGTGCCGCGCGTCGGCGCCGGGCAGATTGGCCACCAGCTGGTCTGGCGATACTTTCCAGTGCACAGGTCGGAGCACAAAGTCCTTCGGAGACTCAATGATGAGCCAAACGACGGCTCGAAGGCAAGCGAGCTCCGACGCTGAGTTTTTGCTTGTGCCTTCCCCAGTAACAACAACCCGACGGCCATCTCCTGGTGCAAAGCTGTTCGGCCAAGTCAGGGTGCACCGCCACTCTGCATTGGCAAGGCCTGGCGGGGCGAATTCCTTGCAGTCCGTGACGGCCCTGACCAAATGGGCCAGGAGATCTTGTCGACGTGGCAGCGGGACATCAGCGCGACACTGGCTGGACACCGCGGGCCACCGGCCGCCAGAGGAGAAACATTTGGTCCGGCCGCGGCCCAACCACAGGAAGATTTCGGGACACCAGCGGGACACCGCGGGCCACCGGCCGCCGGAGGAGAAACATTTGGTCCGGCCGCGGCCCAGCCACTGGAAGATTTCCTCTCGCCCGCCCACGCAGCTTCGCCTCGCCCGCACGCGCGCACGGCACGCACGACACGAACCCGAAATCGATTTCCCGGTAAAGGGGGTCTCTGTTTCACGTCGGACTCACCCCCTAACCTAAAATAATCATTGTTGGCCCCCCCGGTGCACTCACATTGTGTTTGTTCAATTGAAGTGCCACTCCCGTCGCTCGCACCATGGTTTTTATCAAAGAGAATTTTCGTCCTCAAACTGTGTTGCTGGCCCCCGGGTTACAACAACGACGTTTCCCGCCTGAGACTTCCTCACGATTCAGCCAGGACCCCCGCTCCCGCCCAAGAGTTCCTCGCATTTGAATCAGGAATCGCGCTCTCGCTTGGGACTTCCTTCCAATTTATTCAAGAATCACTCTTTCGCTCTCGCTGGAGACTTGCTTGCAATTTACTCAAGAATGCGTTGAAGTTCCCGCAATTTACTCAAGCGCCGCGCTCCCGACACCCAGGCGCCCAGGAGGACTCCCTCACACGTGACTCACGAATCAGGATCTCGTTGCCCTTCGTGGTCCCGTTGCAGCCCTTCGTGGCCCCTTCGCTGCCCTTTGTGGACCCGTTGCAACCCTTCGTGGCCCCCTCGCTGCCCTTCGTGGGCCCGTTGCAGCCCTTCGTGGACCCCTCGCTGCCCTCCGTGGCCCCGTTGTAGCCCTTCGTGGCCCCCTCGCTGCCCTTCGTGGCCCCGTTGCAGCCCTTCGTGGCCCCCTCGCTGCCCTTCGTGGCCCCGTTGCTGCCTTTCGTTGTCCCCTCGCTGCCCTTCGTGGGCCCGTTGCAGACCCTTCGTGGCCCCCTCGCTGCCCTTCGTGGCCCCCTCGCTGCCGTTCGTGGCTCCGTTGCAGCCCCTCGTGGCCCCCTCGCTGCCCTTCGTGGCCCCGTTGCAACCCTTCGTGGCCACCTCGCTGCCCTTCGCGGCCACGTTGCAGCCCTTCGCGGCCCCCTCGCTGGCCTTCGTGGCCCCATATATGATGCATGCCCTTCGTGGCCCCCGCTCGTTTGCGCCCGTCGTGGCCCCACATGCATGCCCTTCGCGGCCCCGCTGTCGCCCTTCGCGGCCCCCTCGCTGCCCTTCGTGGCCCTCTCGTTTCCCTCAGCGGCCCCGTCCTTGCCCAACGCGGCCCAATATGCGCATGCCCTTCGTGGTAAATCGTGAGGAAGTATCGAGCAGGAGCCCTTGTCGTCGTGGCTGGGCCTCCGCCAACTTAGTTGAATTGAAAGGGTGTTTCGAGCGAGAACGCCGTTCCTGAGTTCGGGGGCCTCTCTGGCCAGGGTGTCTCGGGGTAAATTGTAAGGAAGTGTCGAGCGGAAGCCGTTGTTGTCGTAGCTGGGCCTGTAAGGGCCCACATTTAGGCTCAAGCCAACGCTCGAGCGGGAGCCTCGTTTTCAGAGAAATCGTAGCCCGCGTCGAAGCGAGAGCGCGCGGAACCGTTTCCAGAGATCAACAAGAATTATGTTTTAGAAGTGAGTATTCAACAACGACAACAACAACGCAACAAGCAGAATTCTCACCACGGATTCTCACTTCAGCCACGCACCCAGGGACATTAGATGACCGTTCGGCCCCCTCACTCTGATGAGTGGGAATGTGTAGATGCGCCTCATTTACATATGTGCACGCCCCCCATGTCTGACTCACATCCCTTCTCTCTGTCTCCTCGTTCTGCTCATCTCCCCTCTTCTTCCCAACGCCACCTTTCGCCGCACTCTCTTACGGCCCCCCTCCTCTCCTCTTCTCTTCCGCCAGCCTCTGCCGCCTCACGCCGGCTGCTGCACCCCGCCCCCTCCCAGCTCTGTCGCCATGATCATGGCGAAGGCGGACCACAGGGCCTGGGCACCGCGCAGAGAGCGCACCGGGCGCGATCGGCGGCAGCACAACCGGGACGACAGTGATGCTATGACGAGGAGAGGCCCAGGACAGGCTGCAGGCGAAGCGGAGATCACGGCGGCCCCCGTCTCGGGAGCTTCGCGCGGTGGAATGGGGAACCCCTGCAGAGCTTGAAGAGGACCACTCCTCCTCCGAAGATCGGCTGCGCCGCGGACTTCGGGCCAAAGCCAAGACTCGCGACGCAGCGACGGCGGTGGCAGTGACGCGCTGCATCGCCGCGGCCGCGGAGCCGCAGGGAGGGCAGCAGCAGCAGCAAGACCACCGCAGCGACGGCCACATGAACAGGAGGAGCAGGCGCGGTAGCAATGGCAGGGTGTCTGAAGAAGAATAAGCAAACAACAATACTACGAATAAGAAAAGGAAGAAGACTCAGACGAAAAACACTCAGACGAAAAACAAGAGGAGAAGTAATAATAACAAGAAGCAGCATAAGCTGTCGAAGCTCATCACGAATTGATTGGAGCGGTGCTAAGACCCCCTCCCTGGAACGCGGAGGGCGCCAGGGGCGGCGCCAGTGTCGCTGCCAGAGGGTCCCAGCGCCGATCCAAGAAATCCGCGCGGAGCTCCGATAGTGTATGCTTATCATGATGTGCGTTCTTCTTCGAGTGTCTGGCCCGTCCATCTTCACCGTTCTCTCCATCCACCTCCGAAGCTTACTCCGAGTTTCTTAATAATCGTCGGGGGGGCGTCACCCCCGCCGACAGCCCCACATCGACCCCCGTCGCGGGCAGCCACCGCGCGCCGAAGGCGCTCCGCCCCCCGTCGCGGCGCGACGAGGCGAGGTTGACCCCCGTCGGGGGGGACCCCCCCGCGCTTATTAAGAAACCCAGAATACGGCAAACGCATCGCGCAATCACACCGTCAGCCCTGTGCTTCCAACACGCGGTGTCTGGATCCCACCCGCTCGCTTTTTGCGAGTCACGGGGCCGCATTGCTGCGATGCAAGGTCATCGAGCAAATGGGGATTGCTGGCTCAGCAATGAATTGAAGGCCCAAATCTGGCACAGTGCCGTAGGCACTTAGTAGAATGTCATCAGGTGCCTTCGGGCTCTATGTGCTGAATATTGTGAAAATGTTCTTCAAACCCCAGACCCGGATTCCTGGGACCTCTTGAGCGCCTCTGGGCGCTCCCGGGGATGCCCGCGTGACTTTTCCCGAGGCCCTGGCAGCCTGGTGGAAGGGCAGACTTCCCACCTCTGCATTGAGCCTTCCTGAGGGGCCGCCCTGGCGCTCTCTTGCGGTGGCCTCTTGGGCTGCCCTGGGGGTCGGCCCGGGAGGCCCACGTGATAGAACAAACACACACACACACACACGCACGCACGCACGCACGCACGCACGCACACGCACGCACGCGCACGCACACGCACACGCACACGCACACGCACACGCACACGCATACGCACACGCACACGCACACGCACACGCGCACACGCGCACACGCGCACACACGCACACACGCACACACGCACACACAGACACACAGACACACAGACACACAGACACACAGACAAACACAGACACACAGACACACAGACACACAGACACACAGACACAGACACACAGACACACAGACACACAGACACACAGACACACAGACACACAGACACACAGACACACAGACACACAGACACACAGACACACAGGCACACAGACACACAGACACAGACACACACACACACACACACACACGCACACGCACACACACGCACACAGACACACACACACACACACACACACACACACGCACACACGCACACACACACACGCACACACAAAGGTCTAATACGATGTTCGTGTGCTCACCTTTCCTGTCCGAAGAGCGTCCAGGAGGGCCTTGTGGGTCTCCAATATCGCCCAAAGAGGCCCCCTATGGGCTCCAGGAGGGGCCCAAGAGGTCCCCTATGACGGCCCTCCGAAGAGGCCAACAGGGTGACCGCTTGCAAGAGCGGTGCACGGCGTGCTGGATGATAAATCTTTGACTCGTTCCAAAAGGCCCCCATGAGCATGTAAAAAGCAACGCCTCCAAGATGGCCAAGCTTGCCCAAGATGGCCTCCAAGACGGCCCAAAGACGCCTCCAAGACGCCAGGATGGTCCCAGAGAGCCCAATCTAGCCCTAAGGCGGCCAAACGGGCATAAGACGGCCTGTGAGGCCCCTGAGACTGTCCAGGTTGCTCCAAGCAGAGCTCCGGGAGGCCAAAAGTCAGTGATTGTTCCTTTAGCGCTTGCACATCGACTTGTCGCCCTTTCGGGCTTCCGACAGCCCAAGACGGCCCAGAGGCCTCCCAGATCTAGTCAAGACGGCCCACGAAGCCCCCAAGACAGCCCCGAGACGGGCGACGAGGGCCCAACGACGGCCCCCAACACGGCCCCAAGAGGGCTACCAGATGGCCCCAAAGATGGCCCGAAAGCGTCTCAAGAGGGCTCCCAGACTGCCCCCTTACAGGCCCCCAGGGGCCACCAAAAGGCCGCTTAGGCTCCCAAGAGGCCCCGAGGAAGTCCTCGGGAGGCCCTCAAGAGGCCTCCCCCTCTTCCTCCTCCTCCTCCTCCTCCTCCTCCTCTTCCTCCTCCTCTTCCTCCTCTTCCTCCACCAACTCCTCCTCCTCTTCCTCCTCCTCCCTCCTCCTCCACCTCCTCCTCCTCCCCTCCTCCTCCTCCTCCTCCTCCTCCTCCTCCTCCTCCTCCTCCTCCTCCTCCATGGCAAGACTTCGGCCCAACGTTTGGCTACATAGGCGTTTCCAACACGGAGGGGCGGCGGTGGTTCGTCTTAGCCGCCTTCAGTACAAGGGGGGAGGGTCGGAGGCAATCGATGGCCCGAAGGTCACGAGAAAGCCCCAGCAGAGCCTCCAGGGCCCCTCTGCGCAAGGGCTCAAAGTCCGAAGCGTCCTGCAAACGGCCTTCTTGCACTGTGGCTCCATTTGGGCCCCCTCCCCCTGGCCTCTCTAAAAGCCCCTTGCCGCCCTGAGAAAATCGAGCGGAGCCCAGCCAGTTCACCCTGGGAAGCATCGCATCAGCGACGCTGTCAATCTCTAGTGAGCTGAGGGCGCGGGGCAGGGATGACTCACACCCCTGGCCAGAAAGTCGTGTGACACTGTCCTGCGCAGGGCGGCGCCAGCAGAGGAATCGGGATTGCAAACCCTCCTGCCAGCCGGTCCTCCGCTGCCCTTCCGCGAGCCACCCCTGTGAGATTCCCCGGGCAAGCCCGGGCCGTCCTTCGAGGATGAACTCGGCCGCGGGGACGGGATCCGCGGGGGAGGGCATCACCAGGGCGGCAGAAGGAAGCGAGAGACGAAGCGAGAGCGGATTCGGTCATCAAGAGGAGGTCCGCGAGACAGCGACACAAGACTTCGGGGTCCTGATTGGGGGGGAACAAAAGGGTAGGATAGCAAAGGGTAGGGTCGATAACCATCTCACGCAGCTGGCTTTCCTGGCGCCTCCTGGCGCCGGGAAGCGCCCATGTATCAAGGAATGGGCTCGGCGGCGGGGCCGAAACCAGCTGCATGCAGCAGATTGCGTGGCCCCCTTTCCCTTCAGTGGAAGCCCGACCACAAGAAACCTACCACACGAAACCCAACCATGAGACACCAGGACGCCCATTGATCTTTGGTGTTGGAACGTCGCGCTATCCACAGCAAAACCACTCGAAACCCCAAAAAACCAGGGCACCCTGGAAGCAAGCAAGGTGTTTCTTGGCATGGGTCTCCACTGTGTCGTGCCGTTTCGCCCAGCCCTCATCCTCCTCCTCCTCCTCCTCCTCCTCCTCCTCTCCTCCTCCCCTCTCCCCCTCCCCCTCCTCCTCCTCCTCCTCCTCCTCCTCCTCCTCCTCCCTCCTCCTCCTCCTCCTCCTCTCCTCCTCCTCCTCCTCTCCTCCTCCTCCTCCTCCTCCTCCTCCTCCCTCCTCCTCCTCCTCCTCCTCCTCCTCCTCCTCCTCCTCCTCCTCCTCCTCCTCCTCCTCCTCCTCCTCCTCCTCCTCCTCCTCCTCCTCCTTCCTCCTCTCCTCCTCCTCCTCCTCCTCCTCCTCCTCCTCCTCCTCCAACCAGAGTGGCTTCAGAGTCATCCCCAAGCTGCAGGCGCCGCCCTGGTCGGCCTTCCGCTCGCCTCCCCTCGATGCCGCCCCTCCGTCCTCCCCCCCGCCCCTCGTCGCCGCCCTCCTCTCCCCTCCCTCCCGCTCCCTCCCGCCTGCCCCTGCGCCCTCCCTCCTCGCCCTGCTCCTCGCCCTGCTCGTCCTGCACCCCCTCCCGTCCTCCCGCTAGTCCTTCCCGTTCCTCCTCCTCCTCCTCCTCCTCCGCCTCCTGCTCCTCCTTCTCTCGCACTCCTCCTCCTTGTTTACGTTAGACCGACCTCAGGTTTCCCCGTGGCGTTCTACACCTCCTCCGCCTCATCGCCCTCCTCATCGACGCAAGGCGCAGCCGTCCAGCCGGTGCCCATTCCGCTCGCCCTGCCCTGCTCCATGCTTCCTCCCCGAACCAGGATGGCCTCTGTGGGGTTCTTGTCCAACTGCCAATCGAAGTTCGTGATTGCCTTCGGCCCCGCCCTCTTCCCACCATCCCCCTCTCGACCCATCTTCGCGGCGCCCCAAAGCCCACGCGACGCACCCCAGGCCCGCGCAAGGGCGCGGAAGAGCGCCTGGGAAACCAAGGGACGGGGCCCTTGCGATCCTTACGCCCCCCCTGCCTCTCAGGGCTGCATGAGCCTCGGGACACTGCACAGCGTGCTGAAGACACGGCGGCGAATCCTGTCTACTCACACCATCGCGCGCCCCCTTGGGACCAAG